GCCATGCAAATATCAAAATGCCTTGACAGGCGAGTGTCCCCAAGCAGGCTGCATTTGCATGCAGTAGCCAACTTGCACATGTAATCCTGTATCTCCATGGCTGAAAAAACTAAAATCCAATGAAGAGGCAGGCCAGGGAGGGAAGAGCTAAATGCTTAATGTCCTCCAGCCAGCAATATACAACTTGCGGCACTGTGAGAAGCTCCCAGTGTGCAGAGACGGAGTAAGCCATTTCAGTACAACTCTGCGAGACAGAAGGTAAGGCTTCAGTTCAGCTTTAAAGAAGCTAGCAGGCTTCAGTACTACTTGGGTAAAACACTAATGAAGTCTGCTAGCAAGTTGGTTAATAAAAAAAAAAAAAAAAAAAAAAAAAAAAAAAAAAAAAGAAGGGGTACATTCAACACTCATTAACATCTGCTTACAATCCTCAAACTGGAGCTCAATGTTGCTTTCAAATATTCATAAAACCTGTCTGAAGCTTGCTGTACACACTGCCCTTATACAAGCTGAAGCCCATGTATACTGGGCCTTACTGCAGAGCCTCCTCCTGGTAATACTGTGGATTGTAAAATAGTTCAAGCAAACAGCAGGCTAAGGAAATGTGGTATGGAGATCTTCTCAGCGTTACTAAAACAAAGGGATAAGAGTCATGTTGGAGATTTGGGTATACATTGAAAAGCCCTTTAATACAGTGAATGAGAGCATTAATTATACTGGATCAGTGCATATCTACATAATCAAGAGGATGTGACAAACTAAATACTACTGTATAGTATATAAAAAACCAACAAATTTTTTTTTTATATGTAGCCATGTTCTATAAAAACAGATTGCATGGAATTATACAGATGATCCAAGAACCCCAAAACTAATATTTGTCAATAAGTAAAAAAGTCAAGAGTCTAAAATGTAGGATTAAATGTAAAACAGACACTAATTTCTACAAACCCATAAGTAATGTCCGAAGCTTAAAGCAGATCTTCACCCTAAAAAATGTTGCCTCTCCTACATCTTCTCCCCTGCTTTTTTTTTTCCTTAAACCTCCACATGTGACCCCCCCATTCACCTAGGTCAGGGGTAGGCAACCTGTGGCTCTCTAGCTGTTGTGGAACTACATTTCCCATGAGGCATTGCAAAGATTACAAAACTGACAGTTACAGCTATGACTTGCAGAGGCATGATGGAACTTGTAGTCCTGCGGCTCTCAGGTTGCCTACCCCTGACCTAGGTGAATGACCGGCACTCTTTGTCTGCTGTGCTTCCTGAGACATGTACATCATATATCCCAGCAGGAGTCCTAGAGAAAGGAAGGGGCGGGACCTAGCGGCTCGCCAAATGGAGCTACCAGTTGAACCAGGAAGAGCCGGCAGCTTCGTGATTATGTCACTGAAGATGGCAGTGTGGGACTGAGCAGGGGGAAGAAAAGAAGCAGATCCCAGCAAGAGCGAGTACTTTAAAATATGCAGGACCTGCAACTAGGCAAGTATGGGTTTAAAAACAAATGCATTAAAAAAAAAAAAAAAAAAAAAAAAAAAAAAAAAAAAAAAAAAAAGGGACTGGTGTCTGACGCACAAGACGTTCCTCCAGAATTACTTCTGCAGCACTAAAATGCCCATACTAGACTGCTAGACAAACTGCCTGAAAAAGATGTGAATGTAGAGACCATACAAAAGATCAGCCCGCCCAACACAGATTTAGAATACAGGTGTTTAAGTCACCCACTGGTTTTATTTACGTCAGACCCCAGCTTTGTTTTTCCGTTGTTTGTGGCAGCCTGATTTTGGATTCATGGAGACTGCAGCAGCAGCAAGTCCCTTGTATGGGACTAAGGTCTATGAAGGAAAGGAGAGGCTAAAGAAAACTCTGGGAACATATACAGCTAGTGGATTGTTTGTTGGATTTGTTTTTTTGCTACTCCAACATTTACCAGTATACTTCTAAGGGCATGAGCATATAGGCCTTTTCATATCTGCCTCATCCCAAATCAATGGTTTTTTATTTTATGAAAAAGACAAAAGATGCATCAAGTTTGCAGTGCAGAGTAGGACAACACAGGTGACTGCAGTTTACCATGCATGACTGACATCACAGCTCTGCTACCGTCAGCCTGAAACAGAAGCTGGTGCCATGTGATGAAACTGACTGCACAAGCACAGGAGGTACTTTCCTGTATTCGTTAAAAAAAAAAAAAAATATATATATATATATATAATAATGTTCCCTAATGTTGTTCTACTGTGTACTTCCTAACTGATCTCTCCTTTCTGACAACATTATGCCCATGTCCTATACACTTTTGGGTGGACTGACCATCCAATATCGAGGTTTTAGATTCCACTTTTACATATATATCACCTACACTCAGATGGGTACAAAAAGAAAGTTAAAAAAAAGTCATGCATTTCACACTTCTGAGGGTTTATCCACTGCAGTGTGGGTTTGGTCTCCAGGTACTGCTTCAGTTTCCACACTGTCAATTGAAGAGGAAGATTGTGTTGATCCGGCAGCAGACTCTTCGCCCTGCATTTTAACTAGCCTGTAACTACAAAGCATCTCCTCCAGGAGTTGGCGGTAGTTCCCCCTATGATTAATTCTCAGCTCCCTGAGAGCTTCCACCAATTTTCCATGCGCTGAATTTTCCTCTGATCCAGTGGGGTCCTTGTTTAAGATTCAAGACCCCAGTGTCAGTACGTAAAAACAAGCGTCATTCTAAACATGCCACAAACATACAAAAATAAACGTCTGCATTACAGCAATAAAAAAAAATGGCTGTTACTTTTAAAAGAAGGAACAATGTGTGACAAAGTCAATCATTTTAGAATTTCAGTCATAGGACAGGATTCTAAACTGCTTTTATTTGGCTACTCAAAGTAGATTTTTAATGGCTTTACCAACAATCTGACAACATGAGGCAAAGCAGACTGGCACTTCAAGCAACTGAAATGGACTTCTGACAGAGGGCCTGATGGCACATAAGACACCAAAACGTCTTGGAGATCACACTGGGAATTGCCCGATGGTCCAAGATAAAGTCCCATGGTGAATTTTACTGGGGGAAATCGCCTTCACAGAAGAATTATACTCAGGCTAAAAGACTCAGTAAAGAGAATTAGGCCATGTGCAAACTTGTCATACATGTTCAGCTTGGAAACTTTAACAAATTCAATTTAGCTTGACGTGTGTGCATCATAATAAATATATTTTAATTCAGAAGTATCAGGATTTAAAAAGAACAGCATCAAAGGTAAACAGTCAGGATAGAAAATATTGGAGCTGTCACTGGTGATTTATGAATAAACCTGCTCTGGGACCAAGCTGCTTACTGAACCAATGACCTGCAATAAGTATGCAGTCAAAGTGTTTTGACAACATACTGTATACGAGGTGTGTCCAGAATATGAGAATGAAGTTTCCTACACTCGAGAAGGGCTCTGGGAAAGGAGAGAATGGCCAAAGCCACTTGGGGAGGGGTTCCAGGTATATGTTAGAACACTGATCAGCTGCATTCCAGCCCTGTCAGAGTCGAGCCATTCTTTTTAGGACACCCTGTCCAAGTGACTCGTATTAAGAAAAATGCAAGCAAGTTTGGAACAGTAGTACGCAATAATATTGTGTGCAATTGGGTACAAAAGCATCAGAAACCTTGGAAATGGTGAGAAGCTGCACTATCATCTGCACAAGTGTTCTGATGGTACCAGGCCTTCAAGGATGAACAAGAAAAATGTTGAAGACAAACAGAGATCAGGACGCCCCTCTTCGTCAAATACAGAACAAAATGTGGATGCAGCAAGATTTGTTCTCAACCATGACCGACTGCCATCAGAATTATTGCAGAGGAAACGGGAATTACCTAGCCTATTGTTCATGAAATCGTGACTCAGAACTTGAAAACAAGAAAAGTGTGCGCAAAACTTGTTCCAAAGAACTTGGCAAATTAGTTGACTGTGTTCCTTCTGATGACAAGACCGGTTTGGATAGAGCCTGATTTTTTGAGTTGAGCAATCACAGGAGACGAAGAAAGTTCAGAATGGCACACAGCCATGTCACCTCGCCCCAAGAAAGCTTGAATGCGTAAATCAAAAGTCAAATCAATGGTCATTGTTTTTTTGATTCACGTGGAATTGTCCATAAGGAATTTGTACCTACTGGTCAAACTGTGAATCAAAGATTTTACCTGGAAGTTCTTGGTCACGTGACACAGTTTTTAGGGTGTGTCCTGAGATCAGCTCAACTCGGATCCTTCATCACAACAAACCGAGTCACAATGATTTGGCTCTCAGTTTTTTAGTTGAAAAACATCACGTTTCTTTCCCATCCATGTTACAGCCACGACTTGGCTCCTTGCAACTTTTTCATATTCCCAAAAATGAAAAAGGGTTCGAAAGGACACCATTTTGGTAGTGTGGACATCAAAAGAGCCATTACGCAAGCTCTTATCCCACTTGAAGACTTCTAGAGATGCTATGAAGAAAAATCACTGGGAGTGTTAAGTACACTCACAAGGAGCATACTTTGAAGTAGACAAAATGTTCAACATAACATTTTTCAATAAAAGAATTTTTAAAATATTCCCATTACATTCTGGACACAACTCATATGCACACTTGTTCTGAGCCAGTGATACACCAGGCAGCCTTGAACTAAGTCAGCAGTGGTAGCTTTCATCTTCATATCCAGACAATTTCCGAGAAACTGTGTGTACCCGGCTTAATATATGGCTGGACAAAGTTCAGAGAAAACATTACCATCTGGAGCACACCCATTATAGCCACATGAAGTGCACCAGACCTCCTAGATAGGATTTACTAGCTTCCACACTGTACGTCTCTGTAGATCCTTTGCAGTATACCAGGAAATCACTTCAGGGGATTGCAAACATGACCAGCGTGTAATAATGCTGTTAAATTACATGTGGCTGGACTTGGGCTGAAAATGTGCACAGTTCTAATATGGCTGTAGCAGTACAAATAGAAAAAGCTATTCTGTCATGTATAAAAACTTACCCCATCATTGTCTCTATGTGGATTCAACCTATTATAAACATCTTCGATAACACTGCGTCTGCAAAAAAGACACGTTAACAGGATTACGGTCAGAAGAAGATCACAGCAATGGAGTCCCTGAATGCAAGAACAAGTACAGTGACCTGACAAAACAGACTTTGGAGCTTTAGGAAAATAGAATGTTAATGCTTGTTCCTACACTACAATGTGGAGTGCTTCAGTGCCCCCTTCTTCACCTGCCCAAATGTTTCATTGCCTTCGTCATTCCCTTTAGAACTAATGTCAATAGGCTTTTGACTGCTTTTGCATTCATAGACTTGTATGGTGCATATTAATTTTGAAGGGAGAAAATCAGGTCAACTAAACCTGCAATGAACTCAGAATGATGCCCCTAAACACAATGTTCTGTGAAACGCACTTGACGGCTTTTTGATCAGAGGAAACTAAGTTCTGGTGAGAACCAGCCAGATCTACAGAGCAGCCGCATCTATCCAAGTACCAGGCAGTGAAAGTTACGTTGACCAGATCTGACCAGACCAGTTCGTTGACACCAGAGGTCCAGTGGTTTTTTTTTACACAAATGCGCATAAAGATTGCGTATCTGGTGAGTGCACAATCTTTACATTACCTATCACCTTTACGTTTCCACATATTGGACGAATGAGGATCATCTTGGATCTTAAGAGCACCCCTTTATTGGACTTCATTTTATTTGCACTTCTTCACTTTATAGCCACCATTCAGTGGCCTTGGTTATTGGTACACAGTCACTATTTTGTTTCCGATTGTGATTGAGTTTTATTATTATTGTTGGTTATATTTTATAGCGCTGCACCCACTTTTATATTTATGCACTTGACGGCTAGCTGCCTACATTTACCTGTTTTAGCACACAAAATTTTGCATCATATACTTCAGTAAAAGACATGGCACAATCCGTATATCTCCTAGCAGTGAGCATTCTTGGACCAGCCAGTAACCACTCTCTCATATTCTCAACTACCCAGATCCTCAAGGTCTCAGTCATAGGCTTTCGTCATCCTTTGATCTTGAAGCCCATCTTGTACATCTTTACCTCTCCAGTATGGAGTTCTGTGGACCCTTACCTGAACTTAACCCCATGACTACCATCAGTTCTCACCTTAGCATATCTCCAAAGGGGAGACTTAACAGGAACTGTATGCTACAGGACTTTGTCTCGCAGCCAAAAATTGACAAGGGGAAAGGGGGGGGGGGGGCTGGAAATGTGGGGTAAAACTGCCAAAAAAATTTTTTCTAAAAAGTTTAATAATTTGGGTCAATTTTAGCTTTCATACTATTTTTTTAACAAACATTTAAAAGTGGTAGTAGACTCATACATTAGAAAAAAAACATGAAAAACATTCCTGTCACGAAGGTCGCTTCTGGAGGGCTCTGTCAAAAGTGGTCCCTCTGCCTGACAGTAAGGTGATCTGAGCCATACCTCTCAGATGACATTTACGGACCGCTCTGTGTTGTGGCAATGTGACTCCAGTGCGCATGTGCAGGAGTGACATCACCTCAGCCTGAATAAAAAAGCGGCTGAAGATGGAAGCACCAGGGAACCGGCCAGAGCGCAGCGATGGAGGGCTCAATTTGTCATAATGTGCTAGTATGTAGTGCATACTAGTAAATTATGGCTAAAACCTGCATGGGGGCCCATTCCTTTAGTTTGCTTACTAACTATTACCACTTTAATTGCACAAAAATCCCAGAGCCCTATGATTTAGCTACAACAAACAGTGGCTGCCTGCCTGAACACTGAGGTTAAAGTGGTCCATAGGCTGAGTTTTGTGTGTCCAGCTCTGCCCACTGGCTGATCAAAAAAGCAAAAAAAATATGATAATTATTCCACCTACATAAAGTTAGGTAAATGAAGGAATCCTCCCCTGCCGGGAAAATGTATTCTGACAACAGGACCAGTCCGTCAAAATACAGGGATCAGCAGCTTGAAAAGCTTTCCATAACTTCCCTTCAAAAGAAGTCAAATGAATTCTGTCAAACAGGGACAGCCATATAAACATTTGTTAGGTGCCTGGAGAAATGGCCGAATTTCGATCTATGGCCAGTTTAAGGAATAAGTCACTGCTAATGAGAAAACCACTTCTGTGAAGAAAGTGTAGCCTGGCCTATGAATCCTTTCAGTAGGCTACAAAAAACAGCATATGCGGAGGGGTTCCTAAATTTCTATAATCTCAATCAAAGAAAAATATTGATTTCTTTTCCGCTGGATCTTAATTTTGCTTTCACCATTAGGTTTTGTTTTTTTTTTTCTCCTCAACACACATGAAAGGGCATCAATGAACGTTTTTATGGAGTTCAGTTTTAAACCCACCTTTAATAGGCACAGCCTCAATTTTCCATAAAATACCACTCAACCACTCACTTTCCAGCTAATCCACCTCCAGGTGGTAAATTTGGGATATTCTCTGCTGACAGGATGCGCATTACATGAGCGAGATCTGGCATTCCTTCCTCCCCAGCAGTTGTCATGATTTCTAGGAGGAAGAAATAGTAACAATTTTTATTTTGGCAACAATGAAACAAACCAGACACATAGCAACTTGTGTGTTGCTATAAATACAGAGCTTTATGTAAACTTATATCACCGCGAAGCACACCAACTATGCTAACAGCATGTCATGTTATTCTAGGGAAGCAGGAACTAGGATCCTCAGTGTATATACCAACAAAACCCCACAAGATGGCATGACTTCAAATGTCAACAAACTATACATATACAATGCAGATATATGTTGCTGGTAAGAGTAACATGTGTTAATCTTGTTCTGTTTCCAGACGTGGGGTTAGTGAAGGATCAACTAGGTCCACCTAAGTTATTAGTCTCGTGTGACCAAAATTTCAACCACAACTGTGTAAACATGGCTGAATGCCAATAGATGGAACGAAACCATCTATGGGCAAGCTAGAAATCAATTGACTTCAGTACAACCAGCCTGTTGGATTTTTTGCATGAGATTACTGCCAGCAGCTATCATTGTGTTCTGCCTTCAGGGAAGGCTCCCCATCAACAGAACACAATAGCACTGCAGGAGGGTTTTCCCCATCCATCAACACAGTCAGTGTTATTTTTCTGTGTTTGCAGGACAGAAAATTGCATCATCAATGGCTTTAAGACAATGTGGCTGCAAAGCTCCTGTAAGAAAAGATAGTTTGTTTTTTTTCCCTCAAATACACAATTTTACTCAAACGAATACTAGAATGAAATTGGGACTTTTGCATTTGTTCCCGTAAGTTGCATCATATTCATAAGTTTCATATAATGGATTTGTCAGCCTTAGAGTTCGTTGACAATAGGTGCGACTGGCATTATCTGGACATCAGATCAACATCAGTTACCACAAGTGCACAAAGAAAACAATTTTTTCTATGTGCCCCATTGACACCGCTAGAGCCCCTGGGTGCCAAGCACTGCGGTACAGAAAAATACACTCTGTATGAATTCTCCTGCGAAAGGCCAGAGCACACCTGAAGGATCCTTATGCTGTGTTTCTACACATCACAGCAGTACATTGCAACACACTTAACCACTTACCGACCACCTGCTGTTTATAAACGGCAGGACGGTGGCACTCCAGGGGCGGGTTGCCATTGATAAACAGCACCCGCCATTTCTAGCTCTGTGCGCTCCCTGGGAGCGCGCAGCACCGCGATCCGGTACCCGCTGTGTCCTCCGGACACAGTGAAACACCGATTGTCGGACGGGACCTCTGTACGAGGTCCCGATCATGTGATCACTGGTTGGCCAATCAGTGATCACATGCAAAGTAGTAAGCAAGATGTCACTTGTGACATCATTGCTTACTATGTGTGAAATCTGTGAATGATCACAGAGGTCACATGGTACAAGGCTATTCACAACAGCCTTGTACCATGTGACAAGCTGTGACCAATCACAGCTCACTCAGTAGTTCTCAATGGCTGCAAGAATGCAGACAGAGAGAAAGAGAAAATGATTGGCTTTTACATCCTATATGGGTGTAAAAGCAATCAGTGTAAAAAAAAAAAAAAAAAAAAAAAAATCTTCATCAGCCCCCACAAGTAGTACAGTGTCACCATGGTGACACTGTACTGCTAGGGTGACAGTATGAAAAAAAAAAAAAAAAGAAAAAAATTAAAATGTAAAAAAAAGTTTAAAAATTATAATTTTTGGTTATAAACTAATTTGGCTTATATTTTTTTACTAAAAAGATAACTGAATACAATTCGGCCAAGATTTATGATGAAAGATTATTTATTTGCAAAATTGTATAAGAAAAACACTTTCAAAATGTTTACTTTTTCATTTACATAGCAAAAAAATAAAAATCCCAGCGATGAATAAATAACACCAAAATAAAGCTTTATCTGTCTCAAAAAAAAATGGTAAAAATTTTATATGGGTACAGTGTTGCATGACTGCGCAATTGTCATTCAAAGTGTGATAGCGCTGAAAGCTGAAAATTGCCCTGGACAGGAAGGGGGTAAAAGTGTTAAAAGCATATAGCAGTACCTCTGCCCAGACCTAAACCAGCTTGACAGTCACCCTATACATTTTACTGTGCAGGCCAATGTAAACAGGCTGCTAGTGGCTTTATGAAGGTACAATCAGCAGCCTGTCTTAACTGGTTGCCTGCCACTGCAAAGCAGAGAAAGCACTGATGAGGTGGGTAAAACAGGGACATGTATATTTAGGATGCCTACTTATGCCACTTGTCTCAGAGGCAATTACTGATCTGCAAAATTTGGGAATTGTTAAGGGATGTCAAGTTGAGAATAGGACAAAATAGCTCTGTTGGGCTTTGACCCACTGAAAAAGTTTGAGTAGAATCCTTTGAACCTGTCTTATGGAAGCACAGACACAATGACTCTCTGGGACAAGAGTCGGTTCAAAGCTTTTGGCAAATACCATGCACACTTTTACAAAAAATTGCCCAAGAATTGATAATGGAGATTAGAAGTAGAAGTAAACTGCTGTTAATTGCTCCATAGAAGCACAATCCTGAAACACGGGGTCATGTTAGTTGTTCGTTGTCCTAATCCATGTGGCTGCAGTCTGACATACTGAAATTGCAGCGAGAGCTGGTGGCAGGACAGGGCCGGCAAGATTAAAAGAGCATCTCAAAATTTCCATCTATAGAATCTTTGGAAGGAGAAACATCTTCAACAAGTACAAGGAGATATTTAAGACAGATAGCATGATAAAATACAGGAATAACCCACTTATTTGCAAACCTTTTCCACTGGATAAAATCAGTAAAGATATGGGAGAGAACATGCTTTCAGGAGTGACCCAATTGTTTGACTAGATATTCAACAGATTCATGAACAAGGAATGCTTTGCAGGTCTCACTGTACCCCAAAGGGGCATGGTGATACAGAGGAGAGTCAGGTTGCAGAATACCAAGGCTTTTGCAGAAACAGGCAATGAGCTTCTCAATGCTGGCACACATGTTGCTTTAAGTTCCCTGTTCAATATAGTGATAATCTGGGAAAGAAAAGTTCTTCCATCAGTACTGCCTCAATATTCTCTTCATTGTCTGCATCCCTTAGGACTGGCATATGGGATCCAACACCAGTTGAGCAACAAGGGTAGGAGAAGAGGGACGGCATTTTTGGACAAAGATGGCTGTATTAAAGCAGTAATCTGTCAGAGGAAATGTGACCTTGATGTAGAAAATTCTGCTTTAGCCAAAATAGGCCGCTTGTTACATGCCAAAAATAGAGCTAGTCAGATGCTGCGACCAATGCCAGACTGAGGAGGTTCAGATAGAAGACTAAGCTGACTGAGAAGGTTCCAACAGGCAACATCAGGAAAAAAAAAAAAAACCTTCAGCCATAGATGCAGCCACAAACAGTTTGATGGAGCCAATATTCCAGAAAAAGTAGTAATGCTTCTGTGCAAGGATACCAAGTAGGCACCACAGTAAGTTTATGCAATAAGCAAATATGGCTGTTGGCAAGATACATAAATTATAAAACCATAAAATCTAATATATGCAGCGCTAAAATTCACGTAACGCCAAAATATACGCAGATAAATTTGCGCTGTGGAGTGCTAAAGTTATATTAAAGTGCAATGTACGTCCACGGACGTAACTGTGCAGGTAGTGAACTTAGCAATAAGAATAAGCACACAAGTCCCAAACTCTATATAGAGATGAAAAACGTGACTCCAGTGATGTGGAAATGAGAGTACATTGCACTAACCAATTATGCGCATTTGAGTACTTAAACCACTCCTGGTCCTCTGTGTATGGAAAGATGAAAATCCAAGGATCAACTGGCCAATCAACCGAAAGACAGGTAATCATATGGTCATCAATCTCCAGGGATCAAGAACACTAAACCATCCACCAGGGGGATCACTCTCCAGGTAACAGGTATCAAATGCCACCACCAAAGGGGGGGGGGGGGGGGGGGGGGGGGGGTACTCTCAGTAGCAGATGCAGAGCAGGACAAGAATCCATCTTGGGGGGGGGGGGGGGGGGGGGGGCTCGAAATCGAAAAATGAGCCCAAACAGAAAAGGCTAATAGTGTAGTATGTTTATTAATAATTGCCAAGCAAAAAATGAATCCAGGAGGACCAGGAGTGGTTTAAGTACTCAAATATACATAACATTGCGCTGTCCGGTTAGTGCAATGTACTCATTTCCACATCACTGGTGTCACGTTTTTCACCTCTATATAGAGTTTGGGACTTGCGCTTATTCTTATTGCCAAGTTCAATACCTGCACAGTTAATGTCCGTGGACATTCATTGCACTTTAATATAACTTCTTTAATATAACTTTAGCGCTCCACAGCGCAAATTTACCTGCATATATTTTGGTGTTACTTGAATTTTAGCTCTGAATATATTAGATTTTATGAAGGTTAAGAGGTTTTGCCTTTTATGTCAGCTGCTTTTTCCCTGCACTACCTAGCGCACATGTACCCTGTTATTATAAACCATAGAAGTTTAATACCCAATTTTAAATGCATTCTTTTATACAAATGTTACAGGTTTCCCACCTGTCCTTGGGAAACATACCTGACATTTGGGAGGAGAAAAAAAAAAAAAAAAGTCAGGATGCAGTAACCTTCCAATGCTGGTATTTAGAAGCTCCCTCTATCTACATACATATCTTCAAAACGCTAAATACAGTATAAACTCTTTAATTGCAGCACTGCGTGAATCTTTGGTAACCTTGGCTACATAAGACCATACAGCTTGCTCTATAGGGCCCCACTGTTTTAGCAATCAAGTGAAGACAACTAGAAATCACCCATGCAGATTAGGCCCTAGTGAAAGCTAGTTAGAACTGTAAACACAGCAGGTTGGAAAAAGCTGCATTCTATAATCTTACACAAGACAAGAGAAAACAATCCCTCATGTTATTTTAATGATCTAACGAGAGAAAACAAACCTATGTTGACCATACATGTAAGGTTTTATTGTTTGAAAAAATATTTTAAGAAAACGTTTGTGGTAAAAAAAAAAACAAAAAAAAAAAAAAAAAAAAAAAAAAAAAAACAAAAAAAAAATGAATGTAGGTTTGACCCCACCATGATTAGGAAACTGAACGGTCACAAGAAATGTCGAAAGAGCAGGATGGATTTTTTTCAGATAATGTCGTTTTCGCTCAGGAACTACATACTACAAAAATACACCGTTAAAAGCAGTTGAAAAAAAACTTTCAAACTACAATCGTCCATTCTTCAAAAAAGGTAAAAAATTTTTTTTAGTATAAATGTTAATAAAGATTCTCCCATACTGAAATCTACTAATGTATGGCCTGCATAAAAGTTCGTTGACACATCAAGAGAAAAAAAAAAAAATATATACCGTATTTGCCGGCGTATAAGACGACTTTTTGACCCTTGAAAATCTTCTCAAAAGTCGGGGGTCGTCTTATACGCCGGTACACATGTTAGGGGGGCTGCGGCATTAAGTACAGGGGTTTGCAGGGGCTGATGTCTCTTACCTGGATCCAGTCCCACGACGATCCGGTCCAGGAAGCACGGCGTCTCCTTCAGTTCGGCCACTGGATGTTCGTGAGGCTGCTCGGCTCCGCCTCCTCACCGGTGATTGGTCGCCAGAACTGTAGCTCAGGAAAGGCACACAGGCGGCCAATCACCGGCGAGGGGGCGGAGCCGAGCGGCCCCCGCGAAAATTGAGTGCCGGAGCAGCAGGTAAGTGTGCTGTGTAGAGGTGCTGCGGCAACCACATATGCTGGCTGCAGCAGCACCATACGAGAACAGGGTCAGCAAGTCTCAGTGGAAGGAATAGTCCATCATTGGTGTCACTGATACCAATGATGGGGCACTATTCCTCCCACTGATACCAACGATGGGGCACTATTCCTCCCACTGACACCAACGATGGGGCACTATTCCACCCCCCCACTGACACCAACGATGGGGCACTATTCCACCCCCCACTGACACCAACGATGGGGCACTATTCCACCCCCCACTGACACCAATGATGGGGCACTATTCCACCCCCCACTGACACCAATGATGGGGCACTATTCCACCCCCCACTGACACCAATGATGGGGCACTATTCCACCCCCCACTGACACCAATGATGGGGCACTACTCCACCCCCCACTGACACCAATGATGGGGCACCATTCCTCCCACTGACATCAATGATGGGGCACTATTCCTCCCACTGACACCAACGATGGGGCAGTATTCCTCTCACTGATACCAATGATGGGGCACTATTCCTCCCACTGATACCAATGATGGGGCACTATTCCTGCCACTAATACCAATGAGCACTGGGTGGGCCCAAATGAAAGCCAAAACCACCAACCCAGGTGGTTGAAAGCCTGGTGGTCCATATTCAGTTCAAAACTATTCCTCCCACTGACACCAATGATGGGGCACTATTCCTCCCACTGACACCAATGATGGGGCACTATTCCTCCCACTGACACCAATGATGGGGCACTATTCCTCCCACTGACACCAATGATGGGGCACTATTCCTCCCACTGACACCAATGATGGGGCACTATTCCTCCCACTGACACCAATGATGGGGCACTATTCCTCCCACCGATACCAATAATGGGGCACTATTCCTCCCACTGATACCAATGATGGGGCACTATTCCTCCCACTGACACCAATGATGGGGCACTATTCCTCCCACTGACACCAATGATGGGGCACTATTCCTCCCACTGGTGTGCATTGGAAGAGGGGTAGTCTTATACGGCGAGTATAGCCCAAACACTACATTTTAGCAGGAAAAGTAGGGGGGTCGTCTTATACGCCCAGTCGTCTTATACGCCGGCAAATACGGTAGGTAAAGATTCCCATTCATTCATGTGGCCTGTACTTCTAAGCGTATATCGTTTTATAACGTATGTCGAAATTTAACTAGGACATGCTACATTTGAGTGTTCATATGCTTTAAAAGGCCCACTGAAATGAAAAAATTAAGAAAAAAATAATCTCCAACACAGAAGCCATTTTTGGACACCACATGAAATTATTCTGTCAACTCCTCCATCTCTCATTTACCTTACAACTACAAATAGGATAAGGTAGACAGACAATCACCACCAATAATAAAAAGGTCTCCTTTAGGCTGCAATTACAAAGCAAGAACGTACAACTATAATAAACCAAACAAAATATATAGGGCCTTAATAATCCTTAGAAGTGGTAGGTTTTTTTTTTTTTTTGTAGGCTTTTCAGTCCCCCCTTAATTTTCACATGATCCAGTAACATTTCCCGTTTTAAGCAGTTTCCACTCCAGGAGCAAACAGATACCTTGGACAGCAATACTAACAATCTGTGTGGAGGGTTATGTTAGGTACACTAACAAACTTTAGATGGACCTGACCAACAAACTAAAGGTGAACTCCAGCTAACACTTTAAGCAGGAACAGTAGCAGCATCTTTTGGGATAAATCTTACTGGTAAGATCAACAGGTGAGAAAGGGAAAAAAAAAAAAAAAGCCTGACACTAAATGCAGCCACATCTTTGGGTCGCTAAACTGAAATACATTTTTATTTTGGGGGTTTAATATCGCTTAAAAAACAAACATTTCCTTTAGCCCCAGGTTAGATAGCTGGAGTGTAAATTTATGATCTCACCATCAACTTTGTTGTAATTGTAATGTGAGTTAACAGAGGCCAATTTGTTTCCAAAAAACTTCTGCAGTGGCAATAAACTCATTTTTATACCTTTACCTACAGGTAAGCTTTAATAAATCTCCTAAAATGTGCGCCGTTTACGAGATATTCTATTGAGCGGCAGCAGGTGAGTTCACAGCGCATGCGCTCTGAATGCCATTCCTTTAGAGCTGTGTTCCACCGCCGCAGCTCATGTGCATGCATGGGAGTGACGTCATTGCAGCTTCGGCCATTCAAGTGGCTGCAGCCTGGGAACCTGAAAGGAAGACCAGGTGAAGATGAAATGGGAAGCAGAAGAATGGAAGAGATGACAGTGCAATGCTGGAGGGCTTCGTTCTCTCAGGTAAGCCTTTCATAATGTGCTAGTCGGTGAAGCATACTGGCACATTAGGACTTTACTTTTTAAAGGTTTACTACTGCTGGTTTGGGGTTAATACCAATTTAAAGGGTTTCTAAAGTCATTTTATTTTTTGATTGAGTGGTAAGCTCAAAGTGCTGGTCATTTCTGTCCCGGCCGAACCACTGTCCCTAGGACTGAAAGTGAAGGGAGATCTAAACTGATTTGACAACAGAAGGGGGAAATCTTCCCAAGCAGACACCTATTCGGACGACAACTGTCTAATCTTACTTAAGGGGCTGCCTCCGATTTCCCATTGTGTCTACAGGACAGGTATCTCTCCATTGAGACAAGGATGACAAAGTTTATTTTAGATATAGTTTAAACCTCTTCTGAGAAGTGTGGAGGCCTCTATTTTGAGACCCCTCCTAAAAAGGATTTACGCCATCTCTGGCTTCCAAAACTTTGACATGCAGACCTGAAATGAGCATATTGACAGAATAAAGTCTGAAGATTTTGTCCTAGAAAATGCTCAAACAGTAAAGTACTGAAACCATTGGACAGCCAGGAAACTGGCAGCATCAGAAGAGATCAGCAGTGGCAGATCACATACTTTAAAAACACAGGTTTTCTTAAAAAGTGTTGTTTGGGAACCTTTCCATTTAGTAACACACACACACACAGGTCCCCTTTGATTGTGACATGTAGATTTTACTGTGATTGAGATCTAGAAAAACGACTTCCAAACAGGTAAAAACTGGCATCACCAGGATATGGTCAGGTTCTCCATTTTTCTGGAGGTGAAGAACCTCTACATCATACAGTGGCACAGTAAACAAAGGGCTGCAGGAGATTCGGTCACCTGTGCGTCAGTGTCAGTACATAAGAGGCAAAAAGCAAAGAACATTACTATTTAAACCGGGAAATCCCTTTAACAAGGCAGAACACAAATAATGTCAAAGATATACCTTCAATTCTTGATTCTAAATGTTTATCCAGCTCAGCATCTTTCTTGATGGCTTCTTCCGACACCTTGGGGGCGTTTTGAAAACAAACCAGTACAATGCTCATATTATCACGGCTTCCCTGTTATCAAAATAAACACATTGGTAAACAATGTAATGTAAGCCACTGCAGGTATTCTTCCATTCATGTCCTTAAAAAAGCCAACTGCAGCCCAAAGGTTTTTGACAAAGAAATAAATAGGTTAGGTTTTTTGCTTTGTCCTAATTGAAATCTTTATAAGATGCAAATTGTTTCCAAACAATACATTTAAGTACTTACATGTATCAAATTCACTTGTACACATTTGTCAATAAGTTAAACCATCATCAAAAGGTGACACCATGAGAGGTATTTACGAAACCTGGATGAGGATAAATCTGGTGCAGATCTGTATAAAAACCAATCAGCTTCCAAGCCTTGTTGTCAAAGCTTAAGCAAACAAGTAGTTAGAATCTGGTGCAGCTGTGCATGGTAGCCAATCAGCCTCTAAGGGCATCAGTTTTAATAAATCTCCCCCCTAAGGGCGCATTCACACTTACGAATGCACCCTGCCTGCGATTATATGCGAGAACCCCAGCGTGAACTCCCGCGATTAGCCAGCAGCCCCATTAAAAGCCATAGGGGGCTGTCGGCTCTCTGAGCTGATCGCACACATTGGTGTGTAATTACAATCAGCCCTGGACACAGACAGTCTTGGTCCAGGGTCAATCACTCAAATGTGATCGCTACAAGAGTGATAACATGCAAGTGGGTGCAATTAGACACGGGAGCCAATGGTCTTATTACTTTCAATGGGGCTGCCTCTTGCACTCAGTTGTGGTACACCCCACATAAATCGCAAGCAGGGTACATTCGCAAGTGTGAACCTCTTATACGTCTCAATTTTGCTCAATGTTCTAAAGCAGTGGTTCTCAACCTTCCTAATGCCGTGACCCTTTAATACAGTTCATGTTGTGGTGACCCCCCCCCAACCATAAAATTATTTACCCAGTAATTATAATTCATGTAATGTCATTTTACCTCCAATATTGCTGCTTTGAACACAGTAGCTGCTTTCTACACGGTAGCTGCTCTTTACACATTGCAAATATGTGTTTTCCCGATGGTCTTAGGCGACCCCTGTGAAAGGGTCGTTCGACCCCCAAAGGGGTCGCGACCCACAGGTTGAGAACCACTGCTCTAAAGCAAAGTGTTTGATTGAAAAATACAGACTCATTTTAAACACTTATTGTCCTTTGGTTTTACCACACAGACCCCACTGTGAGACATCCTTTTTCTTCCACTGACTGCATACAGTCACGTATATTGCGATCAAGTGCATCGCTCTACTCAAACTACAATACCCACCATTCGCTGGAAATCCTAATATGCATACGTCCCTAACATAATTCATCCACACCTGTCTGTGGGTGGTGCTGTGCAGGCAGAGATTTTATGAATGGGAAGTTTTCTAAATGTTTTGTGAGATCAGAGTATTGAAAATTTCCCAATTTATCTTTTTTGCACAGCTCACCTCCACCCACCCCATGCAAGGATGAAAACCAAACACGATCATTCAAAAAATGAAAAAAAATTACACACCGTGCCATCAATTGTCTGATTTTTTTTTTTTTTTTTTAAAAAGCAAAAAAAAAAAAAAAAAAAAAAACACAGCATGTTGGATCAGGCACTTTAGATTAGGACACGAAAATCCAGTTTCGCAGCTGGCACACCAATGATGTGAAAAACGAACGATCAGACGATTGACATGAATTTCATTGTTTGACTCATCTATAGCTGGCTTAAGTGTCACTATTAAACTGACCCCAGCAACATAGTCATCTGAAAAAGTAAGTACACCTTGTCATGTTTCACGACTGTCATATACAGTGGGGATCGAAAGTTTGGGCACCCCAGCTAAAAATTTGTATTAATGTGCATAAAGAAGCCAAGGAAAGATGGAAAAATCTGCAAAAGGCATCAAATTACAGATTAGACATTCTTATAATATGTCAACAAAAGTTAGATTTTATTTCCATCATTTACACTTTCAAAAATAACAGAAAACAAAAAAAATGGCGTCTGCAAAAGTTTGGGCACCCTGCAGAGTTAATATCTTGTACTGCCCCCTTTGGCAAGTATCACAGCTTGTAAACGCTTTTTGTAGCCAGCCAAGAGTCTTTCAATTCTTGTTTGAGGTATCTTTGCCCATTCTTCCTTACAAAAGTCTTCCAGTTCTTTGAGATTTCTGGGCTGTCTGTCACGCACTGCTCTTTTAAGGTCTATCCATAGATTTTCAATTATGTTGAAGTCAGGAGATTGTGAAGGCCATGGCAAAACCTTCAGTTTACGCCTCTTGATGTATTCCCCCCGTGGATTTCGAGGTGTATTTAGGATCATTATCCATTTGTAGAAGCCATCCTCTCTTTAACTTCAGCTTTTTCACAGATGGCATCAAGTTACCATCCAAAATTTGCTGAAATTTTATTGAATCCATTTTTCCTTCTACTCGTGAGATGTTCCCTGTGCCACTGGCTGCAACACAACCCCAAAGCATGATTGATCCAACCCCATGCTTAACAGTTGGACAGAGGTTCTTTTCATTAAAATTCTGTGCCCCTTCTTCTCCAAACGTACCTTTGCTCATTCCGGCCAAAAAGTTCAATTTTAACCTCATCGGTCTACAGAACTTGTTTCCAAAATGCATCAGGCTTGTCTATATGTTCATTTGCAAAGTTCAAACGATGATTTTTGTGCTGAGGACGTAGAAGAGGTTTTCTTCTGATGACTCTTCCATGAAGACCATATTTGTACAAGTATCTCTTTATAGTGGAATAGTGTACCACAACTCCAGTGTCTGCCGGATCTTTCTGGAGGGATCGTGCAGTCAAACGTGGGGTTTGAATTGTTTTTCTCACAATCCTGCGAGCTGTTCTGTCTGATATTTTTCTTGGTCTTCCAGATCTTGCTTTAACTTCCACTGTTCCTGATGACTGCCATTTCTTAATTACATTCCGAACAGAGGATATTGACATCTGAAAACGCTTTGCTATCTTCTTATAGCCTTCTCCAGCTTTGTGAGCGTCAACTATTTTCAGTTTCAGTTTTCTAGACAACGGCTTAGAAGAACCCATGGTGCTGATTGTTGGGGCAAGGTCAGATGAGTCTGGGCATTTAAAACCTTTGAGCTTGACATCACCTGGTCTTCCCAGACGATGATTGAGAACAATCCATGACACTGGCAGGTCTCAGCTTTGCAAAGGGGGCAGTGCATGCTATAAATTCTGCAGGGTGCCCAAACATTTGCAGACGCCATTTTTTGTTTTCTGTTATTTTGATAGTGTAAATGATGGAAATAAAATCTAACTTTTGTTGACATATTATAAGAATGTCTAATCTGTAATTTGATGCCTTTTGGAGATTTTTCCATCTTTCCTTGGCTTCTTTATGCACATTAATACAAATTTTTAGCTGGGGTGCTTAAACTTTCGATCCCCACTGTACCTTTAAATGTTATCAGTGTTTTGTCTCTGCTCCTCCCTTTCCTTTGGTTTACTTAATGTTGCATAGATAGCCCTCCCCCTCTCCCAGAGATGCATTGCAGTAAGCCTCATGGCATGGAGCAGGAAAAAGTGGTAAAACCCACTTCCAAGGCAAAATGTACTTTCCACATTAGGCCATTATATCTTGATACTTGTTATGTAAGCGAGTTGTCCTTTGACATTTATTAAATGGCTTATTACTTAACTGTGCACCAATTGTCCACTGCACAAAAAATTGCTTCACATGCATGAACTTACATTTTTAAAATCACTCACTTCCTCACAAAATTTAAGTGGAATTCAAAATCAGAGCTTTGACTAAGCTGGTCAATAACAGTCTGATTCTTCTATTTGATACCTACTATGGTGGTTTTGGATCATTGTGCTTCAAGGACTCTGCCTGTGTCAACATTCAAAAATATGACCTCACATGATCAAATACACTTTGATATGATGCAGAATTCAGTCAAATTTATGCAACTTGTAATTAAAGCAACCCCAAGCCAGAACATTTCCACCATCAGGCTTCACAAATGGGAAAAAAAAAAAAAAAAAAAAAAAAACTCTTGGGTTGACTTTACGGGCCAGGTCAGTCCTATATAAAAGTAGAAGTCTGAAGCCTATGCAAATTAGATATTGTCTTTAAATTTGAATGATTTTCATTTCATTTGGCAACCTCGGGCATCCACAACTGTGAGAACACTGGAGAGCTGCCCCACTTATGGTCTGACCATTTACACCTGACTGCCATCTGATCCGCTAGATGGAAGGGAAACGGATCGCCATTCATCCGTTTACACCCGCCTACATCCAATATGTTAAAAGACACATCCGATTTCACCTGCTGCTCCATAGAGGAGAATGGATGGTCCAATTGGGTTCGAAAAACTGACAGAAGGAACAGATTGGTCCACTCTTGTGAAAAAGGACCTAAGATGGTTCTAATCGATGGCACCATATCGGAACACCCAATTCTAAATTTTATGGGTTTGAAGTGCTGAAATGTTGGGGTGTACATATTTCTTCTACAGGATAAACCTAAAATGTTTGCCTGTTCAAATATGTTGGGGTGGAAAAAAAAAAAAAAAAAGTTAATTTCCATGCTTGTACTTACATTTTGTAAACTTGAAGTCAGCATCAAAAGTAACTAAACTGCTCAAACACAGACTAGGTATTGACTTGCATGCACACTGCCTGATCATATAGCATTTAAATGAGCTGTGGTCAAAGTAAAAATTAGGCACTCAGCAAGACTGTCAGAAAGAGGAAACCAATGATCAAAAGAACCATACACCTACCACAGACCTTTGCATTAGAAAAAAAAAAAAATACACAAACTAAAGTTTCAGAGAAACACATGTTCCCAATCCCATGACAAGTTTGGTTGAAAAACAGTACACCATAGATAGCACAAACCATTTGCCAATCTAAATTGCAAATGAACCTGTTACCTGCCAAAGGCTTTCCAGTTTGGTAAAAACCTTCTTGTAATTAACACACAGAGGAAAAAACTTTCTGGTTTAGCTTTACAGCTCATGTCACCTGCCTGTTCACTGGCACATAAAAACAAATGCACATCGGATTCAGCGTCAGCTCTCCCTAAAACACCTTCCTTGACAGGCTCTTCTGACCATTTACAGCTGTTTCCTATCCTGGGATATTTCCTCTTGTGCCACAGTAATCCCCAAAGGCCCCACCTCCCTTCCTGTTCATCTCAGGTGATGTCACATACAAGCAATGGGGGACAGACTGGGGGAGGGGGGCATCGGGGAATAGGGGAGAAACCCGCTGTTGGCTGGTTCCACTCTCCAAGTGGGGGATGCAAGCTAAACATCAGCTGCTTGTGACTGACTGGTAGATTGCAACGGAAACCTCTCGCAGAACATTGGCCTTAGGGGTGGGCAACTGTGGCCCTCCAGCTGTTTTAGAACTACAAGTCCCATGAGGCATTGCAAAACTGACAGTTACCAGCATGAATCCCAAAGGCAGAGTGCAGCTTGATGCAGAAAGTATCAGAAAGCCACCCTAAAGAATATTTATAGGAGCTCTTAATGCATATCTAAACCATCCTTATTCTCTTAAAGGACATTATAACATTTAAATAAATTTATCTTTCCCCCCTAATTAACTCTACCCTCCCATAAACCCCTCCCCAACCACCTATCAACCCACCCCCCCTTTCCCTCCCCCACTCAGCATATTCCCCCATCCTTCGTATAAAAGAGAAAGGTGTGCTCAAAATATTTTACCTTATACCCCCATATATACCATATTCAATTTAAACGCTTCCCATTTTTTCCATCTCACACAAAATCTCTCCATCATATCTTCATTCATATGGTAAAGTTTCTCCATCCTACATATCTGGCCTACTCTATCCACCCAGTCCTCTACTTTCGGCACCTCCCGTCTCCGCCAGAACTTGGGTATCAGACCATTTGCTGCATTTAAATAATACCATGTACCAGAATCTTTGTATTTATTCACTGAGGACTCTGTACTGTGGAGAAGGCAAATCTCTGGCTCTAATATAACGTCAACTTCAGAAATCTTCCGGATCCAATACACTATTTTCTCCGAAAATTCTTGTATTCTCAGGCACTCCCACCATATATGATACATCGTGCCTCTCCCGCCACACCCCCACCGACACAATGGTGAATTCTCCCCACACAACCTGTGTGCCACATTCGGTGTGATGTACCATCTTGCTAAACATTTGTAATTCAATTCCACCTCCCGCATACTAATGTTTTTGTGAATTAAGCTATATATCTAAACCAGAGGAAAAAAAGCTCTCAATCTGGTGCAGCTGTGCATGGCAGTCAGTCAATCAGCTTCTAACCCCATGGTTTCCTTCCTATGGACACAACTTAAATAATTACTTTTTGCTGTAACTACAAAGCAACTTCTCTGTAGTGAGTATTAGGTGAGAGGGAGGTGTTGTAGTTGAAACCATGAGAGCAGCCTACAACTTTATAAATACTGTAGAGACAGTGAGCGTTGTCATCCTTGGACAGGAAGTGTGTTACTCAGAGGATCACTAGGCGGAAATAAAAGAAAGCCTATATAAAAGGAAACAGATACACATCTAAAAGACTGGTCAACTAACAATTTTTTTTTTTGGTTAGGGTGTTTGGATACCATTACATCCAGGTTTCAGAACACTGCCATCGCATACCAGTTTCTCCATGGATCCACTCACAATCTGAGACTTCTAGGCAGATGCTGGTCAGACAATCATTCTTGGAGAACCAGACAGGTTTTCTAACCTGCTCAAGTGTGTTCGTCCATTTCCACCCCCCCACTTTCCAAGGATAAATATCAGCCAACGCAACTCGCTTGCTCTAAAAGACATTTTCTATGTTGGTCACTGGAAGAATACATGCATGCATCTCACCAACCTATAAAAGGTCTATAAGTAGGTCAAGCCAACCTTAAAAAGATAGATATTGCCTGTAGCTGGTAATTTACATGTGACATAAGATTTTACCTGGTAATGGCTTACCTTATGTAAACAGGTGTCCACTACAGAATTACACACTCTCTCAAGGTCATCTGTTATCTCCAGCCTATACTTGACAAATTCACAAAGCTCCTCATTGCTCATGACATCCCAAATACCATCACAAGCTAGTATTATAAATTCATCCTCGTCTGACCGAACAATTTCGTAGACCTCAGGCTCTGGAGACACAAGCTGCTCGGTAGGGCCTTTGCCATCAACACACTTGTAGTCATAGTCCCCGAGAGCGCGAGAAACCGCTAATGAGCCGTTGACACGCTGAATCATGACGCTTCCTCCTGCGTTTTGGATCCTCTCCTTTTCCTTGGGATTGCAGGGCTTGTGATCCTGTGTAGAAAAGCAAACCTGTCCACTCCTAAACAAAACAGACCTAGAATCTCCACAGTTGATGAAATACATATGGCTCGGTGAAATAAGGACTGCAACAGCTGTAGAGCCACTTCGGTCCATACCATTCCTCAAGTCAGCAAAGTTGCGCATGTACTCGTCGATTTTTAAAAAATCCAGTTCGAATACCATTTTTTACATTTTCTACAGAAGGTTCCAAAGAAGATCCTGGAGTCTCTGCTGCCCTGAAGTCTTCATTGTCTGTGATATGCTCTAGTAAGTGCGTAGAACAGTAATTTGCAACGCGGGACCCTGCATGGCCATCGTAAACGGCAAAGAAGGACCAGTCTTCCAAACCATGAGGGATACCCACCACAGCGGTGTGAGCATCCTCCATCTCCACTCGCCAGCCTTGCATACTGCTGAGTCCATAGCGCAATCCATTTCCTGCCCCATGAGCATTGTGTTTCTCAGTTTTGGGTTTGTCCAGAAATGCCCCCATGTTCGGTAATCAATCTGGTAAGAAAAATAAATAAAATGGAAGAGAAAGAAAAGTTTTTCAATTCAACACATAACAACCCCTCCTCCAACCCTCACCAAAATGTAAAAAGTAAAAAAAAAAATTTAAAAATAAAATAAAAACGTCAAATCCATTCTATACATGAAGGTATAAAAAAAAAAAAAAAAAAAAAAAAAAAAAAAAAAAAAACACACACACACAGAAAAACAACCTGTGTGCAGCATACTTACCTAAGCGCCATCACGATCCAGCGATGTACACGAGTCTCGGCTCGCCGGGGACTCGCCCTACTCATTGGCTAAGAAAATGTCAATTACAGCCAGTGAGCCAATGAGGAGATGGCGTGGAAGGGCTATGCTGCTGCTCTGTGGGTGAATGTACATAGAGTGGCAGCTCAAGAGCAAGCCTGTTTGGGTGCTCCCATAGCAAGCCTTGAGAAGCGGTGGGTCGGGGCTGCTCTGTGCAAAACCACTACACAGAGCAGGTACTGTAAGTAGAACATGTGTTATTTGTGTTGCCTTTAGCATCACTTTCAAACAAAAAAAGGAAAAAAAAATTAATAGACATTAAAACGATGGCAAAACCAGCTTTTGGTGCAATATACAGTGGTTTTAGAAAAGAGTGCCCCCCCCCCCACCTTTTAAAATAATCACATATTGTTCCTTTGCAGCCTGAAATGAAGAGTTTTTGTTGACGAAGAGAAACTGAGAGGGAAGGGAAATACTGGAATACTAGTCAGTAGGGATGCACAGATACCCTTTTTTGATTGGCAAGTATGAATAATTTTGGTCAGGTAGTTGCTGATATCAAAGTACCGATACTCTGCAGTGCGATTTGTGTCAATACAAGATGTACGGATGTAAAATTGCACCGCAAAGAATAGCATACGATTTGAACAGGCATGCAATCATGACCAAATCACATGCGGTTTCCCCACCGCTCCTGTGTGAACCAAGGCTCGTCATAGCCTGGAGCACACACAGGAGCAGTGCAAGGAGGTGCAGCAGAGTGGAAAAGGGGGTATGTGGGGATGTATACCTTGGTGGCATATGCTTTGGATTCTCAGCTGTAGTAGAGGAGAGAAAGCCGCAGGGATGACAGTACGGGCTAGAGAGCTTTTGATTGGTCAGCACAGTCACATGGACAGCGCCAACCAATCAGAGGCTCTCTAGCCTGTACGGTGATCCCTGCAAGGAGAGAAGAGAAAGCAGCTTCACAGGTCTGGGGATTTGAAATCTAGCTTTCTAGTCCAGAAGCTAGACGGCTTCTGGACTAGTCCAGACTGTCCATGTGACGGTGCTAACCAAAAGTCCTCTAGCCCAAACTGTCATCCCTGTAAGGAGAGGAGGGAAAGCCGTGGGGATTTCAACTCCCCATGGCTTTCACTCCTACAGCTGAGAATTCAGAGCATCTGCCACCATGGTATACATCCCCATGTGCCCACTCTCCACTCAGTATGGGATTAGTGCAAGGAGGTTTCCAGCACCAGCCCTGTGTGAACTATGACAAGCCTGGCTTCACATAGGAACAATGGGGAAACTGCAAGGAGATTTGGAAAGGAATCACATTCCTGTTCAAATTGCATGCTATTCTTCGCGGTACAATTTACATTTTGTATTGACGCTAATCACACCCCAAAATATTGGTTTCCAGTATCGGAAGCATTTTCACAAGGGGGGGTGGGTTGAGATAATCCATGGTATCAGCACAGATACCGGTATCTATATCAGTGCATCCCTACTAGTCAGTATCGGTGCATAAAAGGTGTATTTGCTTTGGAAGAATAAATCACATCCGAGTGTCATACTTGTGTGGATGTTGCTGTATTATAGGAAATTTTATTTTACATTTTAGAATGTAGTGCCTCAAGATTGTGCAGAATTTTAAAAGGGTGCCTTAACTAAAAAAAAAAAAAAAAAAAAAAAAAAAAAACTTGAGAATTGAAAAAAAAAAAAAAATGTTGCTCTACACAATGAAGCAATGTATTTATAAAGACAGCCCTTGTTATCTTGTGACAACGGTGCATTTTAATAGCATTCTTATTACCAACAGGACTAACATCCTAGGTACTTAGATGAGTTACTAAATTGGGTAAAGCTTTCTAATCTGAGACTTCCCTACAAGCTCATGATGGCTTGTTTCTGATAAGAAAGTCACCTGAGGACAAGCTACCTTGTGGAACAACCATATGTTTTAAAGCAACAGACCGCAGATATATTAGCCATACAGAAATAAGTTACACTAATGCCAGTCATGCTGAACCATTCCTTATTAGAAGCCAAATGTGGGTTTCTTTTTTAGTTTAAGAGCTGCCCACTTTCACGCAAACCAGTCAATACACACTTATTGGGATATTTGTTTATAAAAAGACATAGTAAAAAACATTTTGACCAAAATGTATGAAGAAATTTGAGATTTTATTTTATTGGATAAGTTTTATAGCAGATTGTAAAATCGTTTAAATTTGCGGTCTATGCATAATATATATATACACACACACATATATACACACACACACACACACACACACACACACACACACAGCGTTGCATGACCGCGTTACCAGTACCAGAGAAGCTATCAATAGCAGCCATACCTCTACATTGGTGCAGTGTGGGTACCTCATGTATAGTTAAAGGTGCTTTAAATTACATTTACAGATTTTAAAGGGAAGGCATCAGTTTAAATGATGTCCCCTTTAGTATTTAGCAGACATTATTAAATGTTCTGAAGTGAACATCGTGGAATGTCTACACAGTGTCCTCATATTCCTGAGACACCAGATGATGAACTATGTCTGGGTTAATTGCAGTAAACGAAGTGCTTAATTTACATGAACCTTGGTGAAAGCTCCAGAACGCCAGCCATCAAACACTGGCTGACAGTCTTCTGGCACGGAGCAGTTTTCGAAGAACATTTACAAAAGCAGACACAGCTACAGCAAGGGCAATTTCACCTTTTTGAGTACATTTTCTGGGATAAACAGCACAAATTATAATAATTTTTCTACAAAATACATTTTCCATAATTAAAAACATTTTTACAGACCTAACACAAATCTGGAAATAGGTCATGAAGTGAATCTAAAAACAGACAATTTCTACTGCCTTTCTCCAGCATGGTCAGCAAGCCAGGTGAACGCTTTCCCTCCCCTTCTAAAGTATTAAACCCAAAAGCAAACATTGTAATTGCAAGAAAGCTGATCCAGCTAGCAAGTCTGTTTTCAAGAGAAACAAGTGCTCTAGCAAAACGCATCAGTTATATAGTTGAGAAAAACCATTCAACACTGGCAGGGGTGCTAACAATGGTCAGAACACAAAAAAACACCCCCCCCCCCCCCCCCCAAAAAAAAAAAAAAAAAAAAAAGTTTACTGTAATGGCTTATAAGTATAAGCTGGATTTTGGCTTCAAATGTTTTTTAGTTCATCTAAATCTGCTAGTACATTAACACTCCTCCCAGCTCAACAATGCTGCTGTCCAAAAGGAGCTGCCTATGCTCCTTCCTCCAAAGTGGGGGCACGCTAATACAGGAGTACAGCCACCACATCCAAGGATTGGTAAACTGCAATATATTACATTTCTGGTTTTTGGGCTCAATACGCCTTTAAATGGCTATTTTGTCATCAAATGTACACAAGCTTGACAATTAATGAAAAATATAAAATGTCAGGTTTGAACATTGCTAGAACACCATGGCACGAACAAGGAGGCTTCTAAACATTAGAATTTGGGAATGGGGGGGGGGGGGGGGGGGGGGGGGGTAATTTGAAAAACACTGCCTTCACAGCCATGGACAAAATGTTCAGGGGATAATGCTCCTCAAAATTCAGATTTGAACCAGTCTATTCAACATGCCTGTCAAAAAATAAAGGCCACAAATGAGACTGCAGGTCAGGTTGCCATCAAATTGCACTGTAACTGTATCATGAGTGAATTTCAATTCCAAGTTTCAAGTGAAATATGTGGCCAGGGTATGGACGTTAAAGAATTTACATAATCTTAACAAGCAGGTAAATGGTATGTAAAAAAAACCAAGCCCTTGTTCACTTCAATAGCTGTAGGCACCGAGTTCTCAAGTTTCACAAAGAAGCAGCTCAATGCTTCCTCCCAACAGCATTACTACCTTCTAATCCAGGGTTCCTCCAGAGATTGCTAGGGGGGTTCTTGAGCAATGCGCAATTTCTGCCTCTTGGATAAGTTCCCACTGGCACCACTGATTTTTATCTGTAAGGGGGGGGGGGGGGGGGGGGTAATTGTTCCCGATGACCACAAGTACATGGGAAAAGGGTGAATTGAGCTGCTAAGAACTTGGGACAAATTTATGTTGGGAATTCTGTAGCTGCAGGCACTCGGCAATCCTCCAACTGTGCCCAAGCCCACCTCTTCAAGTATGCCAGGGCATGGTACACTGAATTGTGCTAAGGCATGGTACAGAGCAATCAGTCAACAGCACAGGACTTTGGAAGTCATACGCACTTAGGCTTGGTTTGGATAGCCATTGCAAGTACACTCCAACATGATCTTCTGACGTTTTTTTTTTTTTCCCCCAATCTGTGCACTTGCTGGGAAGTGACACCTCTAGATATTAAAAAGAAAAAAAAAAAAAAAAAAGTTGTTTAAGGTGAAGCTTATGAAACTTACAGAAAACTGTAGTTAATTACTTCTTCAGACTATGATTAATCAGGGTGATCATCTGTCTACACAGACACAACAAACTCCAAGCAGTTGTGCCACGTCTCCATGAGAGCGATGAGGGATGTTTAGCAAGAAGTATAAAACATGTAACACAAACTATTACAGCATGTACAGACACAATGTCCGCATGCATCACCAAGCAGTATGTTGGGTAATAGTTTACCTACAGTGTAAGAAGTTTCAAATGAAGCTAGTCATTAACCTCCCTGGCGGTATGATTATTTCAGATTTTTGGTGCTGAAAGCGGTACCATTATTTTGCATGGAAATATGTCGTTTTTTTTTATTGTAGGCTGTAATTTTTAGGAATAACTCACTGAAATCTGTCCGAACAAGATTCTAAATCATACATTTAATTCAATAATATAATCAAACCAAAAACACTGAAATTTGAAATAGAGCGCCAAGTTCGCACATCACTGAGCAAAGTCGCAAAATCGTTTTCAGTGTCTGATGACGAATTTCTCCACGAGTTATTATCACTCAAGTTCTGCAAGTGGTTCTGATTTACTATCGCTGTTCTCTAGCTGATCTAAACCCGCTTTTGACCTAAAGGGACGCTTTTTGGACACCATGGACTTTTCTACGTTTCCAGGCAGAAAGAACAGTCAAAATGTAGGCAGGGCGCCGGACAAAGCACTCGGGACAAAATGTATGTGAAATGGTTTGAAACAGCAATGTTTTACTATGTAAAATCGTTTTGAAAAAAAATTACTTTTTTTAAATTTTCAAATTTCCCGCCGCTGCCTGTACGTCCCGACGTCCCAGGGACCGAAACACAGGAGGCGGATGCCGGCATCGGCCAGGAGGAGATGGCCGGGGACGCTGCAGGGGACACATCACGGGAGCGAAGGACAAGGTAAGTGCTGCAGGGACTCCCTATGCAGCGCCGCATGGTAAGCCCGAGTGTAGCTCGGGGTTACCGCTCTTGGTATAGAAAACTTCACCCTGAGCTACACTCGGGAATACCGTTAGGGAGGTTAATATGTCATGAAAAGCAGAAGTTTGTAGCATCAGCTGATTAAATAATAAAAAGTTCCTCTTATATTTGAAGGACTTCTCCCATCAACCACTTTGTTTTATATGAACAGGGGCCCCACGTGCACAGATCACTTGGTGGGCAAAAAGAACATATGGTAAGGAGGGGGGGGGGGACGACACACTCTTACATATAGCCCTAATGGCTGGAGCAATTTTTAGTTTTCAGCAATGCATTAACGACTTCCATGCCACTCCATAGGTGAAATACTGCTACAGGGTGGCATGGCTGAGCAAAATCACATACGTACACACACGATTTTGCAGTTCCGGGCAGGGGGCATGCTCACACCCTACCCACGCAGCCTCAGCTGTCAATCACCAGGTCCCGATCGGCGATTCCCCACCAGCATCTGGTGATCGTATAAACACAGATCTCTCCCGTCAGCTCCTGCAACACTGCTTGATATGGCTCTGCATAGCATAGCAGAGCCATACCAAGCAGTGTACTTATATAGTGTAAAGCGCATACACAAAAAGCAGTTAACCCTTTGATCACCCCAGATGTTAACCACTTCCTGCCCAGTGCCATTAGTACAGTGTCAGTGTTTTTTTTTTTTTTTTAGCACTGATCACTGTATTGGTGTCACAGGGGATGTCACTGACACAGTCAGTTCCCCCCAGTGTCAGAATGCCCGCTGCAGTCCCGCTAGAAGTCGTTGCATGACCACACAATTGTCAGCGAAAGTAACAGCGCAATACTACAAAAAATGGCCTCCTCTGGAGGGCAAGTGGTAAAACCCACATCATTAAAAATGAATAAATGCTGCACTACATGTTTATTCTCAATCACTATGGTATTCATTCTCTGTATTCTGCAAAAAATCTGGTTGATCCTGCGGATCTGTCTCCCCCTCCTGTTCATATCCCCACTGCTGTTGGGAGATTTTGCAGAGCAGCATTGGCAGTCAGTACACATGCTCAGTTTTCAGTATATTTCAACCCTGACCATTTCCCCTCTAAGCAGCCAATATGACTACAGAGTGACATGTGTATACACAGTGGCAAGTGATAGCCCACTCCCTTCATCCCCATCCATGCCCACTAACCAGCTTAAAAAAAATAATGGGTGGGATATTATATCTTTACTGATGGAGGCTTCACTTCCCTGTTATTCTAAGACACAGGCTGGAAGGGTGTGACAAAGCCTGTGATCGGCAGAAATCCACAACACCATGTTACTGCCAAAAAAGAATTTCCTTTCAAATATATATTTGTATGACAATTTTAAACAGATTTTTGATTATATAACATATATTTATGATTTTATATATACATCTCATTTGGAACATGTGACCAGTAGCAGAAGACTACAGCATGTAACTTAATTACATGCTGTATTTCAAGCTATTCATACCCTGTTATCCACATTCTGTATTCTGCAATAAACCTAGTTTGTGTCCCCACTACAACCAGAGGAGATTATGTAGACCAGCCATTGCCACATCTGAGCATGTTCCAGTTTCAGCTCCCTTCTAAGCTGTTAATTTCTTCCCCTCTTATCTGTGCAACCGCATGATCAAAGAATCAAATGTGTGGGCAGATACACCCTAGATAAAGGACAGCCCATTCCCTCCATCTACCACCACTAAACAGGCATCACCCTCTAATTCTAGGAACAACCAACCAACAAACACACAGCCTGGAGGGGTGTGAAACAGGCTTTGATTGGCAGAACCTACCCCTAGATAGCCGACACCATGTTTTTGCACAAAATAAAAGATACTCCAAAAGGTGTTTTTTTTATTCTTTTAAAATCAGATTGGCAGTAGGACTATAAACTACTCCTGCTGAAGTTTTCCTGCAGGGAAAGCCAAATCATGTGACAAGACATACATCAATTATGAAAAGAAGTACAAAAAAAAAAAAAATTTAAATACAGTGGCATCATCCATATAAAGAGAAGGAATAATGTAAAAGTTAACTGTTCACATTAAGGCAGCATTTTTTTCAATTATTCTTTGCAGGTAGCAGATGTAAGTTTACCTCCCCTACTCTCAAAACACTGCGCTTATTACTAGAGCACTGGCTGCAAAACTGCTCTTTGGTTGGAAAAGTGTCACCATTCACACAAATGCAACAAATAGCAGCACCATTTCAAAATGTTTGTGACCATTGCACATTTCCAGAAGATTGAAGTAACCAAGTGGCAGAACATAGAACTATAAAAATGTTCCAAATTGCAATTAACTACCTAAAACAGTAATTTATTCATAAATATAGGACATATGCAAATTTACTATAGTGCTGTATATACTACTTTAAATCAAAAAGTCTCAGAAAAAAACAAACACACAGAACTAGTGGGATTCTAGAGTTTAGCTGTAAAAATGCTCAAAAAAACAGCAGTTTTATGTTTTTGGAAAAAGTTTGTTTTTGTCTAAAAACACCAAAACACTAAAAAGCCCAAAACGTGAAAAAAAAGTGGCTAAAACGCTAAAAAAAAACCCTTGTGTTCTAAAAAATGCGACTTTACACGGCTAACGCTACCAGTGTTATTAAAACTCCCAGGGTGCATTGAGCCTAAATAGGAACTTCAGGCCTTTGTTTTATTAAAAGTCAGAACTGTAGCTGCTGACTTAAAAATAAGGTACTGACCAGGACCCGGGGTCCAGTACTCTCTTCCTGAAGCGGTTTCTTCTTACCACTGCAGGACCCCAGCACCACCTTTGATATGTGAGTTAACTGCAGTTTATTGTAATGTGTCAGAGGACACAACAAGGCAGGGCTGTGCCCAAGTATGCCATTCTTGCCTGGGTGAGAATGGAGGAAGTGGGTACCTGTCATAAAAAGGCACCCCTTCCTACAAAGAAGAAAGCCTAAAAAAGAAGAAGTAATGCACACACCAAAAAGAAGTCCAAAATAGTGTCCACAAATATCCCAAGTTTATTCACTCTTTTCATCCACTGTAAGGATTGGCTGCTATTTTATCCAAAACGCACCTCGAAATAAATATGAAAATATCTAGTGCATTACCTCAATAATAATAAAAAGAGTGACGAAGTCCGGAAGTGTCGCCGTGGCCATTTTGTTGGTTTTCAACACATGGTTCTCTATGGTGTTTGGTTGGAAAGTTTGAAACCATGTCTGGAGCTGATAATTTTAAATCTAAATATAAGTGTTGCATAAAAAAGTTATCCCTATGCTTGGAATATTAGTCCTGAGACCCTTTTTATCTCTGAGGACCTTTGAAAAAACGCAGTTATTTACCCGTTAACTGTATTTCCAGGAATCTTCTAGGACAGCTCACTTGAGAGATAGGGCTCCTCCCAGGAAACACCCGCTCCACCTTTTTTTCCCTTTATAGGCGTTCTCTCTCCCATTGGCCCCCAGTATAAGAATATGACCGAAGGCCTAGGAGAAAACAGACGAAAACCGGTAATAAAGATATCCCCTCATAGGTTCGCAACATACCTGCACATAATTGTGTGATCATACAGTAATAGGGGGGAGTTACGCTGTCCTAGAAGATTCCTGGAAATACAGTTAACAGGTAAATAACTGCGTTTTCCCTAGTCATCTTCTAGGACAGCTCACTTGAGAGGAGTAGAATAGAAATACGTACATTAGGGCGGGCACCCTGCTTGTAGGACCTTCCTGCCAAATGCCTGGTCCTTGCTGCTGATCAGGTCCAGCCTGTAATGCTTAGTAAAGGTGGCGAAACTGGACCACGTTGCGGCTCTGCAGATCTGTCCGGGGGGGCCCCCCCCCCCTTTTTTTTCCGCCCAGGAGGCCGCGGTGGCCCTTGTGGAGTGGGCTTTTAGGCCGGGCGGTGGTGACAGGCCTGCAGTCTTGTAACCTTCCGAAACTGCCTCCCTGATCCATCTGGCGATGGTGCCCTTGGAGGCACCGTCCCCCTTCCTTGGCCCCTGGAATAGGACGAAAAGCCGGGACGAGTGTCTCCCTGTCTTTGTGCGTTCGATGTATGTAATCAAACATCTTCTAACGTCTAACCTGCTATAGTCCTCCGTGCTGCCCGGATCGGCCTCCAGGGAAGGTATTACTATTTCCTGAGATCTATGGAAGTGTGACGCGACCTTAGGTAGAAAGGCCGTGTCCGTGCGGAGGATGATTCTATCCAATAAGATGGTGTAGTATGGCTCAATCACTGAAAGGGCATGCAACTCGCTGACTCTGCGGGCAGAAACTAGCGCTGTGAGGAGGATGGTTTTAAGAGTCAAAGATCTGAGCGAACACTCATCCAGCGGTTCGAAAGGCCCTTGCTGAAAGCTCTTCAGGACTGTGCCCAGGTCCCATGTGGGGTATTTCGGCATGGACGGGGCACGGCGCCTGGAGATAGCCTTCAGGAATCTGATTACTAATGGGTCTACCGCCAACCTCAGCTCCAGAAAGTTTGACAGAGCCGCTACCTGTACTTTGAGGGTACTGGCGGCCAGATTCTTATCCGCCCCGGCTTGAAGGAATTCAAGAACTGTATGCAAAATGGGGGCGCCCGGTGCCTCGTTTCTGACCTTCCAGGCGGAAAACTTCTTCCAGACCTTGTCGTACAAGGCGTTCGTCGACCTCTTCCTGCCATCCAAGAGGGTGGCGACCACTCTTGCCGACAGCCCCTTTTCTGCTAGCCTGTCCCGCTCAGAAGCCACGCCGCTAAGGACAGCCTTTCTGGATGAGGATGCAACACTCTCCCTTGGGTGAGTAAATCGCGTGTGGGTGGTATCATCCATGGGTCTGCTAAACTTAGCTCCTTCAACCGGGAGAACCAAGATCTCTTGGGCCAGAACGGCGCGATCAGAATAACTTTGGCTTGAGACAACTGGATCTTTTGTACCACCTTCGGCAGTAGTCTGAATGGAGGGAAGGCATAAAGGAGGTCTCCTTCCCACTGCTGGGCTAGCGCATCTATCCCCGTGCTTTTGGGGTCCTTCTGCAGGCGGAAGTACC